AAAAAAATTCAACAATTAAACAATTCAAAAATTAAAATTTAAATACTGCCTACCTGGGTGAAAAACACCAATTTCTCAAAGTCATCAGCATCAGCTGCCACTGAAGAAGGGCTAGCCAACAAACACATGTTAACACAGTGTTAAAAAACCTGCTTGAGTACCTGTACGTACTGCCACCAAGGAGACTACACAAGCCTTTGCTGAGAAGTGTTGAGCCCTAATGTGTTTTAACAGTGAACAGAAGTGGAATCCCACAACAGACTTTCAAAGGGTTGTGCCAATTGGCACACTACGCTATCAGATCCAGTTCCTCACTGGAGAATTTGCAAAGCACAGGTGGGTTAAGGGACTTGTTCAAGACGGCAGAAGACGCATGATGGAAATTTTAATTTCCATCTCATCTCCAAGTCATAAGTTGCTATTAGGCAAAGGTGTATCAACTCAAAAAATAAAATAAATAAATAAATACACGCTCTCCCAGCACATCAGATTTTCTGATTCACAGTAACTTAAAGATTCATCTGCTTGCTATTTGGTACCTGCATTCTCAGTTAGGAAACAGATGTCTTCATGCAAATCAAAACTGCAATTCCACAAATGAGAGTAAAATTTTGAGAACAATTAACATAATATCCTATCAATTTTGGAGTAGTAAATTTGGACTAAGACATGCAGCCAGAGTTCTAAGGAAAGCATTTCACTTCCACCACAACATCCTGAAATACCACCAGGAATGTAGTAACACAGCCCATAAACCTGCCATGCCACAGTGTACATGCACTGGTACATTGCCAGGAGTTTTAAATAACCGTGGCATATATAGGCATTTTTCTATGGCTTATAAACTCAGCAAATGATACATTTCAACAATCAGCATTTAAAACCACCAAGTTTCAATTTCTAGCTCCAGATTCCTTGTATGCAAGTACCATTCAACAATAAGATGTAATTATCACTAATATTGACAGTAACTTCTTCTTTTACTTTGTGACCTTTGAATTATCACTAAGATGCTTCTTAAAAATCAACAGGCACATGACTGGAGAAAAACAGATCCTGAACATACACACCTAGACATGATTAATGTTTACAAGCTGGAGCACAGGAACTTCCAATTCAACATGAGGAAGAACTTCTTTACTGTAAGGGTTCCAGAGCACTGGAACAGGCTCCCCAGGGAGGTTGTGGAGTCTCCTGCCTTGGAGACTTTTAAGACCCGCCTGGATGTGTTCCTGTGTGACCTGCCCTAGACTAGATGGTCCTGCTCTGGCAGGGGGGTTGGACTCAATGTTCTCTGGAGGTCCCTTCCAAACCCTAACATTCTGTGATTCTGTGAAAAGGACCTGCATCACAAAACATATGCTTTAGGTAGAAAACCTCTTGAGCTTGGACCAGTGTAGTTACGATTAATAGGGAAAACATTTCACAGAGTACCATGACAGCCTTTTTGACTGACTCAGTTTTCTAGGTTTTACTCCAGCCATGCGCTGAATTTATATAATTGAACAATTATTTTAAAACGTTGTTCTTAATGCCACCTCCCTTGGCAGCGATCAGAAAGAAGAAAGGTTACATGTGCTGTTTAACTCCGTGATTCCGCTCCAAGCGCAGTTTCAACAATATTAAACAAACTTGTGGACAAAGACTGTACTGGAAAGCCCTGGAGGAATACTGGGAAACTACACACTCATTAATAAGAATCTCCAATATCTCCTGGGAGAGTAGTCTAGGACAAGTAAGTGTACAGCACCATGTCATACTTGCAAAGCTTTGTAGGAGGTCAGTGAGCCTCTAGAGCCTAAGACCCTATACACATAGTGCTATTAGAAAACTGAACCCCCTTAAGTGGATCAAAGTAATCTTTTATCCTCTTTTTGTTAAGAATACTTTAATAACTCACAACTCCTCTGGCTTCTTAGTGGAAATTTTCCAAAGCATTAAGCCCTCCATAAAACTGGAGAGGTACCAACATTATACTTTATAAATCTGTTTTTCATTATTGAAGTTAAATTAGATTGTGAAAATAAGTCACACTACTCGCAAAGAGCACATACAGAGTGCTTTCTGGAAAGAAGCAAAAGACCATCTAGAAGAGTTTTTTGAAAAATGCTACTCTTTAGCCCTAATGTAACTCACTCAAGACCCAGCAGTATGTGGCAAGCAAAGGCCAGTAAGGCTAAAGGCTTCCCTTCTCTGTGCAAGAAGATATGAAGGACACTCAGATTAACTAAAGACAGTTCCCAGTGCAACAGCCAAAGCAAGAAGTAGGATTTTCCCTTCCATTCAGATCTTGAAAGGTGTACCATCAGACTGGTTTCACTTTACAGAATTTACTTATTTAGCAAGTTATTTAGCTTCCCAGAAGTTTCATTTCAGAATCTGAATACTGATCTCCAAACTATTCACCCCTCATGCATTATTTCTAATCACCATTTGGCCTGTAAGAAAAGCCTGAACTCTTTGCAGGATCATGTTAATTTATTCATGGACTCATTTAATCTGCACAACTTTCCTTAGGAACAAAAGTTTAAAAATGTAAAAATTCTTCCACAATTCCACATGGCCCTTTGCTAGGAAAAGCCATGATATTAATGACAATAGCTATAGTCACATAATCCCTTTATTCCAATTTGCAGCCAGCTTAAACTCCAGATGAGACATCTTTCGTACATGTGCTTCTGGGATAAAAAGGATACCACAGTTACCTATTGACTTACGATAATTCTGACCTTTCCCACAGATACTGAGGAAAACAAAATGTTTAAAGGATGTGTTGCACCTTCATGTTGCTTTCCATGAAGCTCTAGTCATGCCATATCAGTTACACAAATTTATGGTGGGTCTGCAGTGTACTGAAGACAAAGACAACTACTTAAAACCGAGGAAGGTGTTCTAAGACAAGGATATCTGAGGCTCACTTCATACAGAAACCAGGTATAGTGTCTGCATCACCACAGTCACTGTATGATGTTGATATATTTAGAAATAACAGAAATATTAAAAATAAGGTCACATGGAGTATCACTGTGTTTTTATGAGGGACATAAAGGAATGGAATTTTAAGGCGAAAAAAAGTGAATAAGCAAAGATTTTTTTTTTTCAAGACAATTTCCCCCTTTTGTCATCATATGGTACGACAAACTCGTCCCTAGTTTAATGAGGAACCATATTTTTCTCTTTAAGAGTGTTTTGAGAAGATTTGATTAAATAAAGCTCATTTTTTTATGTTCAGTCAGAACTTAAATACAAAAACTTATATTAAAATCATGCTTTATATGATGAATCTCAGAACACACTTCAAAGCCCTGAAATTAGGTATTTAGATTGGTCAGAGACAGGGCTTAGCAGACCAACACTCCAATATCTTCTTTACAGCAAGTCATAAAGGGCTTAAAAACCATACCCAGATTCCCTATTTGAAGTATTTGGATCAAAAACTGCATTCTGTTACAAACAGAAAAACCTAGGGCTATGAAAAAAGTCTACTACATCTGTCCACAAAACTCTTTCTGTAACATACTGTTAAAACACACACGCAGCCCTCTGTAAACTCAAAATCCCACATGCATTTGACAAGCAATCGCACCCAGCCAGATCTCAGCTCTCCTGTAGCAGGTCAACTTAGACAACTCAGGCCTGTGGACAAGTGCTTAGATGTACATGAAGGATGTCCAGCTACAAAGAGGTTCTCTTAATTCTTTAAGTTCTACATGGCTGCCCAATTGCACACGTTTTTCACCAGCTGAGCTAAGCCTGGAACATTTTAGACTAGTACTTGTATCATTCTAAAGGACTGGCATTTGCAATTCAAAGTCTGAAGTGGGGATTTTCAAATGTAAAAATAACTCCTGGGCACTTGTCCATCACAGACTTCTCCCCGTCAAATCTGTATTTGAATCACAAGAACAAACACACTCTTCCACATTCAGACAGATTTGCAAGGCTGAAAGTCCTTCAGTAGATCGGAACTGTTGCAGGCAAAACACAAAATTGGCAGAGTGCCTCAAAGGAGCTTGCAGTTTGCCTATAATTACTTTGTTTAACATTACAATTATTTCACGACAGTCATCAACATTAAGACACTCAATCTTTTAAACTCAAATTATGGAAAATTATGATTTCTAGCAAGTCAGATATTTATCAGAACTGTTGAATTAAAGTCTCATAACTATTACTTACTACAGTATTGGTTACATTTTTGCCGTGTTGTTAGACTGATGTAACTTACAGCAAGTTTAAACGCTGAGCTACGTAAGGTATTCAACTCATGCCAGGAAAATTTTATGTTTCGTAACATCGTATGGTCAGCAGAAAGAAAATCATAACTCTGGTAAAATTAAAAAACTCAAACGAGGTTTCCAAAATGAAATTGTTTTGTTAAATATCCTTTCCACTGTTTTTTATCTGTGTTAACTCATTCATCAGTTATCAAAATGTTTTGACATCTTTGCTTCAACACGAAGTAAAAACCGGAAAAGACCTTCTAAGAAAAAGTTAAAAATACAGAAGTATATTCCAGTTAGCAATCTTGCTAATAAGCGTATTAAGAGCTGAAACCCTCCACCCCCAAAAACCCTTAACATTCACAGCGCTGCAAACCTTCAGTCATGACTAACCCAAAAGAGCAGACCGTTGTAAAATGTTAAAGAACTATAAGTAGATGGAGCATTTATAGCTTCATTATGTCACTCCTTACAGATGCACTTGTTATTTTTAAGAAACCTGAATGAAAGCCTCTCAGCGGAAAAGAACATGAAATAAAAGGAACATGGTGCTACACAGACGCCAAAAATAAAGCGGCAAACACAGCAGATGACAGCGGCGACGGCAAAGCCGGTCCGGCTCCCGGGGGCTGGGACCCGGCGGGCG